GTCTAATGCATCAAATATGTTCTTCAAACAATCTCTGAATTCAGGTGGGATGTGTTCAAGATCATATCTTGACTCTTTTGTAGATATTATCCTATCACAGTCAGCATTGTACTTCAAGATAGCTCTTGAAATGTCCTTTCCAGCATAGTAAACCGTGTGATTGTTAGATTCTAAATGACCAATTAGCGTAGTGATTACGAATCAGGCTATGAACCACAAGGTCAGCAGTTCGAAACTACCAGCTGTTCAACAGGAGAAAGATGAGGCTTTCTGCTCCCGTAAAGATTTACAGCTTCGGAAACCCTGTACAGGGTCACTATGAGTTGTAACTGACTCCACCACACATAACCAACCAAATGGCCAATACCAGTCCATTTCAGCTCACTAAAGCCTAGGATATTGATATTTATGCATTCCATTTCATCTTTGATAGCTTGTCATCTGTGGAAAGAGATGGTGGAAAAGCTTAGTATCATCAGCCCAAACAAAGTCAGATGCAGACTGTGGAACAGACCAATTGCTCATATGCAAGTTCAAGCTGAAGAGAATTAAAACAAGTCCAAAAGAGCCAAAGTCCATTTATCATCCATTTACCATTGATCTCATTGTAAATTTTTGTTTTTTTCTTTACATTGAAGTGCAACCCATTTGAGAGCTTTGATCTTCATCGGTAAGTATTTTAAGTCCTTTACTTTCAGAAAGCAAGGTTGTATCATCTGCATATTGCACGTTGTTAATGAGTCTTCCTTCAATCCTTGTGCCAAATTCTTCTTCATATATCCCTGTTTCTCAGATTATTTGCTCAGCATACAAATTGAATAAGTCTGGTGAAAGAATACAACCCTGGCACACAACTTTCTTGATTTTAAACAATTCAGTATCCCCTTGTTCTGTTTGAATGACTGCCTGTTGGTCTGCATACAGGTTACTCATGAGCACAATTAATTTAAGTGTTCTGGAATACCCATTCTTTGAATTGTTATACATAGCTTGTCATGATTCACACAGTCAAAGCCTTTGCATAGTCAGTAAAGCACAAGTAAAGATCTTTGTGGTATTCTCAGCCAAGATACATCTGATGTCAGCAATGATAACCCTAGCTAGTTCCAATGTAATCTTTTGAATCCGACTTGAATTTCTGGCAGTTCTCTGCTGATGTACTGTTTGTTTCAGCTGATTTTTAATTATCTTCAGCAAAATTTTACTTGCATGTTATATGAGTGATGTTGTTGTTGTTGTTGTTAAGTGCTGTGGAGTCGGTTCCGACTCATAGCAAGCCTGCACAGGGTTTCCGAGACTGTAAATCTTTATGGGAGCAGAACGCTTCATCTTTCTCCCGCGGAACCGCTGGTAGTTTCGAACTGCTGACCTTGTGGTTCACAGCCCGATTTGTAACCACTATGCTACCATTTCCACATTCCATTGCATAATCTTTCTTTGGAATGGGCACAGATATGGATTTCTTCCAATCTACTTGGCATAGATGACTGAGTGCCTGCAGTGTTGCATCCATTTGGTGAAAATTTTCTACTTGTATTCAGTCAATTCCTAGAGCCTTGTTTTTTTCCCAATGCCTTCAATGAAGCTTGGATTTCTTCCTTCAGTACCATTGGTTCTTGATTATATGCTAACTCTTGAAATGGTTGAACATCAACCATTTCTTTTTAGTACAGTAACTCTATGTTTACCTTTCATCTCCTTTTGATGTTTTCTGCATCATTCAGTATTTTCCTCACAGAGTCCTTAAGTATTTTAAGTTAAGGTTTGAATTTTTCCTTCAGTTCTTTTAACTTGAGAAATGCTGAATGTGTTCTTTTCTTTTCATTTTCTAACTTCAGGTCTTTGTGTGTTTCAATATAATACTGTACTTTGTCTTCTTGAGTTTCTACTTAGACTTCTTGAGTTGTCCTTTGTGATTTTCTGTGTAGATCTTTTCCGTCCTTATTTTTTTCACATGCTTTAGAATCTCTGTACTGATGAGCAGGAGTCCTGGTGCCCACTATAGAATAACCACAAGGTCGGTGCTTCAAACTCACCTGCCACTCCTTGAAAACCCTCAACAACACTTCAAAACAACAACAATAACTGGTGAGCAAGTTTCAGAGTCTCTTATGACATCTATTTTTGTCTTTTCTTTCTTTCCTGTCTTTTTAATGACTTTTTGCTTTCTTCCTGTATGATATTCTTGATGTCACCCCACCTTGGTCATTAGAGTCTACTGCATCAAATATGTTATTGAGCTGGTCTCGAAATTCAGGTGAGATATGTTCAAGGTCATATTTTGGCTCTTGTGGATGTGCTTTAATTTTCTTCAGCTTCAGCCTGAACTTGCATATGAACAATTAATGCCTACTCCACAGTTGGCCCATGGCCTTGTTTTGGTTGATAACATTGTATTTTACCACCATCTTTTTCCATTGTTGTTGTTGTTTAGTGCCGTTGAGTCAATTCCAACCCATAGCGACCCTGTATAGGGTTTCTGAGGAGCAGCTGGTGAGCTTGAACTGCCAACCTTGCAGTTCAAATGGCTTTGCAGTCTGGTGCATTAACCCACAGCACCACACCAGGACTCATCTCTTTCCATCGTTGTTGTTGTTATTGTTAAGTGCTGTCGAGTCGGTTCCGACCCATAGCGAATCTGAACAGGGTTTCCAAGACTGTAAATCTTTACGGGAGCAGAACGCCTCATCTTTCTCCCACAGATCGGCTGGTAGTTTCGAACTGTTGACCTTGTAGTTTGCAGCCCGATTCGTAATCACTATGCTACCAGAGCTCCTTATGTAGTCAAATTGATCTCTGTGTATTCAATCTGGTGAGGTTCATCAATTCTAGAGGAAGACATTCTCTGTCAGCTCTGGGGGAAGGGTCTTGCTTCCTTTCAACATCTGTGGGCCTGGCATTCCTTGGAGATCCACATGTGTCTTGGCATCAGTCTTGCTCTGAATCTAGAAGGCTCCCTGCTCAGGGACCTGGGTCCAAAGGACATGCTCTACTGCCAGTTCTTCTTTCTTGGTAGGACTTCTTTCTCTTGTAAGTAAAAGGTGTCCCAGTACTTACCCCAAGAAAATCCACTTACATTAGATCATTGCTGTGATGAGGTTAAGAGTACTTCATTCCCTTACAAGTGATTGGCTTATCACATCAGATCACATCATAGTGCATCCTTACCTATCCTCCAAATTATACTTTTGCATAATTGCCAAACCACTGAGAATCATGGTCCATACAAGTTGACACATATCATTTGTGGTACAATTCAACCCATGACAGGTTTTCCTCTGCTGTATTTGTCTATATGGCTGCTGTGTTCTGTGCCTCCAACTAGAGTAAAGCTGGTTGTGCTTACCTACATTGTTCTTGGGGCCCCCAAGGACCTTGAGGAAAAGGGAAGACATAAAATATTGTAAGGCTGTGGAGAAATGAACTGGTCTTGCTACCACCCAGGACCTGCCTTGTATGTAAGTGTCTTTTGCTGCCACCCTTGAGTTGCCTGCCTCTTTCTTTGGTCTCACAGTACCCTACATATTGGAAGGCAAAATTCAAATGATTTTTCCATGTCCTTAAAATGCTTTCTAAATTCATAAAGTTTTACATTATAAATAGGTCACTACCATGACTTGGAGTCCAGGTGTGACACTGAAGGATCCTGCACTGGACCACAAGGTCCCTTTGAGTTGCAAGATTGGTGGTTCAAACTCACCAACCACTCCTCAGAAACCCTATCCAGAGTCACTATGAGTTGGAACTGACTCAAAGGCATTTAATAAAACCATGCACGAGGAGCTCTGGTACTGAACTGTTTACCACAAGGTAAACAGTTTAAATCTGCCAGCTGCTACAATGGGAAAAAAAGATGAAGGTTTCTGCTATCATAAAGATGTATAGCCTCAGAAACCCTATACAAGGCCCCTATAAGTCAGAACCAACTGCATGTGCACAAAACCACCATCACCATTTGTAACAATTATCGTATGCCAGGTGGTTGTATTGTGGGGTTTTGTGTGTTGCTCTGAAGTTGGAAGATATGCCACTGACATTTCAAATACCAGCAAAGTGGACATGTTTCAACAGATCTTCCAAATTAACAGACAAGGAAGAAAGACCTAGTGATCTATTTCTGAAAATCAGCTAATGAAATCCATAACAAAATTCTTCTCAATTTAAAGCTTGAGGATGATCCCCTAGGTTAGAAGGCACTCATAATACACAACAGTTGTAACAGCTGTTACTCAAGATACTCAAGCAAAACCAATGATGGGGAAGATGGTGCAGGTCCAATGAACCCTTCATTCGGCTGCAGCTGGAGCCACTGTGAGTCAGAGCTATGTCAACAGTAGCAGACTCTGCCACATAAGCAGAAAACCAGAGTCACTTGGTATAAATAAGTTTGCCAACGACAACACGTTTCCCATTTTCCCAGCTGAATCCCAACCAAAAAAGATAATAAAAAAATAAGACGAGAATATCACCGAGAAAAAAGAATGTAGTTTAAATTCTAGTCCACATTGTTGCCTGCTAAAGGCTTCAAGCCAGAAAATTACCCTTTCATTTTTAAAAAAGATGTTATGTAGAAATTGTTAAAGACATGGTAGCAGCAAGTTGAGACTTTTTCAGCATGTATTGTCAGAAGGATGAAAGGTGTTCAAAAGACGGCAATTTTTTTTTTTAGTTGCATAATGTTGTGTCCTGTGTAGAACAAAGAAAACAATGCAGAGTTCCAATCTTGAGAATTAGACCTTTAAAAAAAAAAAAAAATTATAATTGGTGATTTAGGTATTATCTTTTTCTAGGAATTTTCAAATGTAAAAATATACACAACAAAATATTTGCCAGTTCAATATTTTCCTGTGTATAATACGATGATAATAATTCTATTGCTAATTTGATAGGATAAGCACTGGACTGTTAACCATAGGGTCGGCAGGTTCATGCTCCTTGGAAACTCTATACAGGGTCTCTGTTAGTCAGAACTGACTTAACAACACTTACCAACAACAGCATCATCTAAAGAGAATTGTCAAAGATTTAGCCCAGTGGTCCCCACTGAGAAGTTTCCTGAGAGCACCTTTCAGGTCTCGGTTTCTCAGGCTGTAGATGAAGGGGTTCAGCATGGGAGTGACAACAGTGTATATCACTGTGGCCGCCATGTCCCTCTTAGTAGAGTATGTGGATGCAGGGTTGAAGTAGACCCCAATGATAGTGCTGTAGAAGAGAATGATAACACAAAGGTGAGAGCCACAAGTGGAGAAGGCTTTCCACTTCCCCTGGACTGAGGGCACCTTCCAAACAGCCACTGCAATAGGTGTGTAAGAGGCCATGATGCACATAAAAGGAATCACAACCACCGCGCCCCTGAAGACCAATATAAGCATCTCATTAACTTGGGTGTCAGAGCAGGAGAGCTTGATCAAGGCATTGAGGTCACAGAAGAAGTGTGGGATTCTATTGGAGCAAAAAGACAGGTGAGTAATCAGGATTGTATGCACCACGGAGACAAGGTTGGCTGAGATCCAGGGTACTGCCACCAGCAAGATGCACCGAAGGGCGCCCATGATGGTCACATAGTGCAGTGGGCAGCAAATGGCCAGGTAGCGGTCGTAAGCCATTGCTGAGAGAAGGATGCTGTCGGCTGCCCCAAAAACTATGAAGAAATACATCTGGGCCAGGCATGCGGGGAAGGAGATGGTGGTGTGTCCACAGAGGTGGTTGGTCAGCATCTTGGGGATGGTGGTGGAGGTAAAGCAGAAGTCAAGAAGAGACAGGTTGCTGAGGAAGAAGTACATGGGGCTGTGGAGGTGAGGGTCCGAGATGATGGCCAAGAGGGTCAGCAGGTTCCCCAGGGCTCCAATCAGGTACAGAATGAAAGACAGACCGAAGAGGACCCGCTGCTGCTGGGGCTGTGCAGAAAGACCAAGGAGGATGAATTCAGAGACTTGGGTCTGATTGTCCATGTCCAGGCAGGTCTAAAGGGAAAAACAAAAGTGTCAGCAATGGGTGGGATACTGGGGAGTCTTCCCCCTCTTCATCTCTCTGAGCTTCGGTTTTCTCATCTATTACACGGAGATTACTAATTTTAACCTTTCATTGTTACAGAGCCCCTGTGTGGTATAAACAGTTAATATAATCTGCTACTCACTGAAAGATCGGAGCTTCAAGTCTACCCAGAGGTACCTCAGAAGAAAGTCTTGATAGACTGCTTCTGAAAAAAAAACAGCTTTTGAAAGCCCAGTGCAGCTCACTTCTATTCTGACACACATGGGGTTGCTGTGAGTTGGAATCGTCACTGGTTTGGTGTGGTATGAAGTGTTGTTATACACAGAGCAGGTTGTTAGAGGGGCTGTGGTGGTTCAGAGCTAGAACTCTTGCCTTCCGTATTAGAGACCCAGGTTCAGTGCCCAGCCAGTGTACCTGATGTGCTGCCACCACCTGCCTGTCTGTGGAGACTTATCTGTTGTTATGATGCTAAATAGATTTCAGTGGAGTTTTCTGACCAAGAAATACTAACAAGAAAGGCCCGACAACTTACTTCTGAAAATCAGTCAATGAAATGACAAGGGTCTGATTACAAGGGGCTAGTGCAGGACTGGGCAGTGTTTTGTTTCTGTGCACGAGGTTGTCATGAGTCAACAGTAACTAACAAAATAAAGCTCATGGTATGATACAACATGCTCAAGGTACACATAAGATGGAATATATTAACAATACAAATGCAGTTCTCTCTCCTCCCAATCAGGAACTTCATTCCCTTTCATAGATCTTGATGTTTTTCATTCAGTGACTGGTGTCTGGCTCCAACACAGATATCTCCCTATTGTTGTTAAGTGCTGTCGAGTTGGTTTTGACTTATTGCAACCCAATGTAGGGATTTTGAGGTGGTAAACTTTGGGGGAGAAGAAAGCCTCCTCTGTCTCCCGAGGAGTCACTGGTGGGCTCAAACTGTGTCACTTGTGATTTGAAATCCAGTGTTTATTGCATGGAGCCACCGTACCCCCAGACCTCTCCCTAGAAGATAAATAAATGATAGATATATAGACAGACAGAGAGAAAGATACATACATACATATGATAAATGTAAAGATATGATGGATGATATTGAGAGAGAATGAGAGAGAGAAAATATTATGCAAAGGTACTACTGACATTTGGTTCTGAATCATTCTCAGGGGTGGGGCTGTCCTGTGCACTGTAGAGTACTGAGCAACATCTCTGGTCTCCACCCACTGAATCCTGGCAGCACATCCTCCCCTCATTGTGAGAACCAAAACTGTCCCCTTGTGGGATGGAACTGCTCCTGGTTAACAGTGCTGGTCCAACTTAGATACCTTACTCTCTCCTCTCACTGTCCCTGGACACAACCTTACTTCTGAGTTGGGCAGTGACGTTATTTGCTACAATCCACATTCTGGTCAAGTACATCCTATGTAACATCCCATTTAACTCTCCACAACATTGGCAGTTCAAACCCACCAGCTGCTCTTCGGAAACCCTACACAGGGTTGCTATGAGTCAGAATCGACTCATAGCAACAACACCCCTCAGCAGCCCCATGGAACAAGAGACTCAGGTTCAATACTTCATTTGCCTAAACATCTGTGTGCAACCAGGATGTAACCCAGGCTTATTCCCCCGACCAGTTCAGGGGATCTAATAGGGGCACTCTCCTGCTGGGTAAGACTAATCAGTCGAACTTTGGGGAACTTTCCAGAAGACCTTCGCAAAGCTAATGCCCCTGCAGCTTGAGTCTGGATACACTTACTTGACCAGCAGTTACTGTGCCTCCTTCAGATCTCAGGGCCTCTCAAAACCCCTGGACATTGTTTTCAAGGCTCTGGAAGCCTTACTGCTGCCTCACCTTTGTTCTGTGGGTGTTGAGGAACAGCATCTTTTTTTCAGGGAGCACACAGCTGAACCATTGCCACATGTTTATATGCACTCCTTAGCCCTGGGGGAGCAAGTCCTAGGTACCTTGTTTAAGCAAAACAATTACCTTGTCTCCCCTAGTTGAGTGTGGATCATGACACCTGTGTGCAAAGCAGTTTCATCCCAAGAGTACTGCTTTGATTCAGATATGCTTCTTGTGGATGGCAGAAGAAAGCATGGTACCTATTTTCCATAAATAAACATTTGAATATGTGGTTAATAATCATGATTATCCATGTAGAAGAAATATAATCAGAATCCTGCTTAGACGCAAGGATGGTGAAACTTCAACTTGTTTAATTTGAATCTGTCATCAGGAAATATCGATTATTAGAAGAGGACATAAAGGTTTAGTTGTTGTTAGGCCATCAAGTTGGTACTAATTCACAGTGACTTTATGCACAACAGAGTGAAATACTGCCCGGTCCCAGCCTAACTGCACATTTTTTGCTACCTTTTAGTCCATAGCTGCTGCCATTGTGCCAGTCCATATCATTGGTGATCTACCTCTTTTTCTGTCGGCCCTCCACTTTACGAAACATGGTATCCTTCTCCAGAGATTGGTCCCTCCTGATAATAAGTCTGAGGAATGAAAGACAAAATCTGGTCATCCTGGTTTCTAAGGAATATTCTGGCTGTACTTCTTCAAATACAGATTTGTTAGTTATTTTGGTGGTCTGGTGCAATGGTACTTTTTATATTCTCCTCCAACGCCATAACTCACATGTATCAATGCTTCTAGGTCTGTACTCATTATTCAACTTTCACATGTGTTTGAAGTTATTGACAATACTATGGTTTGGGTCAAGCATACCTTAGTCCTTAGACTGACATCTTTGCTCTTCAACACTTTAAAGAGGTCTTATGCAGCAGATTTGCCTAAAGCAATTCATTTGATTTCTTTACTGCTACTTCCATGAGTCTTGATGGTTGATTTAAGAAAAAGGAAGTCTTTGACAACTTCAATCATTTCTCCATTTAACACAAAGTTATTCATTGGTTCAGTAGTGAGGATTTTTGTTTCCTTTACATTGAGGTGCAACCAATACCAAAGGCTGTGTTCTTTGATCTTCATCAGTAAGTATTATAAGTCCTCTTCGCTTTCAGCAGGCAAAGTTGTATCATCTACATATCACAGGTTGTTAATGAGTCTTCCTCTAATTGTGATGCCACATTTTTCTTCGTATAATCCACCTTCTCAAATTATTTGCTCAGCATACAGATTGAGTAAGTATGGTGAAAAAATATGACCCCGACACACATTTTTCCTAATTTAAAACCATTCAGTGTTCCTTTGTTCTGTTAGAACAACTGCTTCTTGGTCTATGTACAAGTTTCTCATGAGCTCAATTAAATATTTCAGAATACCCATTCTCATAATGCTGTCCAGAGCTTATCATGATCCACACAATCGAAAGCCTTTGTGTAGTCAACAAAGTACAGGCAAACATGTTTCTGGTGTTCTCTGCTTTCAACCAAGATCTGTCTGACATCGACAATGATATCTCTCATTCCACGTCCTCATCTGAATCTGGCTTGAACCTCTGGCAGTTCCCTGTCAATGTACTGTTGCAGCCATTTTTTGGATTATCTTTAGCAAAATTTTAATTGCAGGTCATATTAATGATATTGTCGAATGATTTCTGAATTCCATTGGGTCACCTCTCTTTGCAATGCACACAAACATGGATCTCTTCCAATCAATTGATCAGGTAGCTGCCTTCCAATATTTTTGGCATAGATGAGTGAGTCCTTCCAGTACAGCATTAGTTTGTTGAAAGATTTCAACTTGTAGTCCATCAATTCCTGGGGCATTGTTCTTTGCCATTGTCTTCAATGCACCTTGGACTTCTTCTTTCAGTATCATTGGTTCTTGATCACATGCTACCTCTTGAAATGGTTGAACACCATCCATTTCTTTTTGGTGCAGTGACTCTTATATTCCTTCCATCTTCTCTTGATGCTTTCTGCATCATTCAATATTTTGTCCATAGAATCCTTCAATACTGCAAGTCAAAGCTTGAATTTTTTCTTCAGTTCCCTCAGCTTGAGAAATGCAGAGTATGCTCTTCCCTTTTGGTTTTCTAACTCTAGGTCTTTGCACATTTCATTATAATATTTGACTTTGTCTTCTTCAGTTGTCCTTTGAAATTTTCTATTTAGCTCTTTTACCTCCTCATTCCTTCCATTTACTTTAGCATTTCTATGCTGGATAGCAAGTTTCAGATTCTCGTTTGACATCCATTTTGGTCTTTTTCTTCTTTCTTGTTTTCTTACTGACCTTTTGCTTTCTTGCTGCATTATGTTCTTGATGTCATCCTATAACTCCTCTGGTCTTCAGTCTTTAGTGTCTAATTCATTAAATTTGTTCTTCAGATGATCTCTAAATTCAGGTGAGATGTAGTCAAGGTCATATTTTGGCTCTTGTGGACTTCTTTAAATTTTCTTCAGCTTCAGCCTGAACTTGCATATGAGCCATTGATAGTCTGTTACACAGTCTGCCCCTGGCCTTGTTTGGGCTGATAATGTGGAGCTTTTCCACTGTCTCTTCACACTGATGTAGTCAATTTTATGAAACCCATGTGTATAATTGTCTTTTATGTTATTTGAAGTTATTTGCAATGAAGAAGTCATTGGTCTTGCAAAATTCTATCATGTGATCTCCAGCATCCTTTCCATCATCAATGTCATATTTTCTAACTACTGATCCTTCTTCTTTGTTTTCAACCTTTGCATTCCAATCACCAATAATTACCAACATATTTTGATTGAATGTTTCATCAATTTCAGACTGAAGAAGTTGTTAGAATTCTTCAATTTCATTATCGCTGGCTTTAGTGCTTGGTGAGTAAATTTGCATAATAGTTATTTTAACTTGTCTACCATGTGGGCCTATGAATATAATTCTATCACAGACAGCTTTGTATGTCAAGCTAAATCTCAAAAATTATCTTTTAAATCATGAATGTGATGCCATTCCTCCTCAATTTGTCATTCCCAGCATAATAAACCATGTGATTATCAGATTCAAAATGATCAATACCAGTCCATTTTAGCTCACTAATGCCTAGGATATCAATCTTTATGCATTTCATTTCAGTTTTGACAACTTCCAAGTTTCCTGGATTCATACTTCGTGCATTCCATGTTCCAATTATTAATGGATGTTCATAGCTGTTTCTCCTTATTTTCAGTTGTCCCCATTAGTAAAGGAAGGTCTTGAAAGCTTTACTCCATTCACTTCATAATGGTCAACTCTACTTTGAGAAGGCAGCTCTTCCCCCACTGTATTTTGAGTGCCTTCCAGCCTTACAGGCTCATTTTTCTGGCATTATAACTGACAGTATTCTGTTGCTTAGTCATGTTTCAATATTCAATATTTTGATGCTATCTGACAGTGTTCTGCTGCTTTTTGTAAAGTTTTCAGTGACTAGATATTCAGGAGTATTCTGTCTCTCCTTCTAGTCTGTCTTAATCTGGAAGCTCATTTGAAAACTGTCCAGCAGTGGCCCTGCTGGTATTCAAAATACCAGTGGCATAACTTCCAGAATCACAGCAACATGCAAGCCACCACAGTGTGACAAACTGACAGACTAGTGGTGGTAAAGGGTTGAGGGTCCTTGAAAAGCAAGCCAACCTCAGTGAAATTAGACACATGAGTTTCAAAGATACTAGCAATTGTGAAGATGGTACAGGACTGGACCACATTTTGTTCTGGTATTCATAAGGTTACCATATGCCAGAGCACCTAAGAATAATAGTCCATATTATCCCTGGGAGCCTGTGTGGCATTGTAGGATAAGCAGCACTGGACTGCTAACTGTACCAGCTGCTCCTTAGGAACTTTATACAGTATAGTTATGAGTAGAAACTGATTTGATAGCACTTAACAAGAACAGCATGGATATATCATTTTTTTAAAAAAACCAAAACATTCTATATTCATTAGCCAGTGAGAGAAGTAAATCAAAACCACAATGAGATATTATTTCACTCTCACTAGAAAGGCTAAGGAGCTCTGGTAGCGTAGTGGTTACGAATCGGGCTGCGAACCTTAAGGTCAGCGGTTCGAAACTACCAGCCGCTCCGCGGGAGAAAGATGAGGCTTTCTACTCCCGTAAGGATTTACACCCTCGGAAACCCTGTACAGCGTCGCTATGGGTCGGAACCGACTTGACGGCACTTAACAACAACAACAAGAAAGGCTAAGATTTAAAAAAAACAAACAACAATAAAAACAAGAAATTACAAATGTTGGTGAGGATGTGAGGAAATTGGAATCTTTGTCCATTAATGGTTGGGAAGCTAACAGGTTCGGGTATTGTAGAAAACAGTGTATATGTAGGTTTTTAAAAAACAAAACATAGAATTATCATATGACCCAGCAATTCCACTGCTAAGAATATACCCAATGGACCTGAAAGCAGTAATATGAAGAGATACATGTTCATTAGTGTTGACAACAGTGTTTTCACAGTAGCCAAAAGGTAGAAACCACCTGAATGCACATCAGTGAATGGATAAACAAAATGTAGTATATACAGATAATGAAACACTACTCAGGCAAAGAGAGAAATTAAGTTTTAATACATGCCACAACATAGACGGAACTTGAAGACAGTTTGTTGAAAGAAATAAGTCAATCACAGAAGACAAATATTGTATACCCTCATCTATATAAAAAGACAAGAGGGGAAAAATGTATACAGACTAACATTTCCTAGTGGTTCCCAAGGTTTAGAGGGGAAAATGTAGGTAGGGATATTAGTTTAGGTCTATAGTGATGGAAAAAATTGCATTGATTGGTAGTAGAATTGTACAGCCTATTAATCTAATTACTGTCAACAATTTATATACCTATAAAAAGTTAGACTGGCAAAAGGTGTGTGATAAATTTACAGTCAGGAAAATCCTATGAAACAGTTGTATTCTGCAGCACAAGGGGTCACCATAAGTTAGAATTGACCCAATGATAACAGTTTGTTTTTATTTTATTTGTTT